CTGGGTCTGGGCCAACAACGTCTGGCTGGCGTCGTCGCGGGCCTTCGCGAAGCATATCGGAAGGCAGTTCGGGCTGCTTCGTGGGAGGTCCGGGGAGGAAGAAACGCCGAAGAAAAGGGAGGAAGGAAAGGAAGGGTCCTGAAGATGAGGCGAACACAAATAATTACGTGACAATGTCGACAAACATGAAATCAATGAGGGGGAAACGACGGGCCAGGATTAGGATGTGAAGGAGGAGGATGTCCACGAGGAGGAGGAGGAGAGGAAGAGTAGGAGGAGGGGCACACCGCAGAGGAAGGGTGGACGAGGAGGAGAAGGAGAGGGGAGGGGAAGGAGGATGACAATGGGGAGTGCGCGCGGCCAAGGTGCGCGTCCAGGGTCCTGAAAGGGGGGGGGAGACCTGAAGAAGTAAAGCTCTCCCCGACCTCCCACCGGGGAGACCTTGGCCCCGCTGGCCGACTACTCCCCCCAGGTGGGGATTGCTGTCATCTCCGTCGGGGCCTGCAGCACCCATCCCCGCCCAGAACGGGCACCGCCGCCGTGCCACCTTCAGAAAAGACCCAGATCTGGGGAACGGCCCGACAACCAGGGCCCCTCATGAAACCAAGGAAGCCTTGTCTCAGCGTCGCGACTGTACGCTGGGAGAGCTCTCTCGCCCTGTCTTGGTCGGGAGTGGGACCGTTCCGACGGTGACGAGGGCGGGCTCGGAGCAGGCGGCGGTGGCATCGCCGCCTTCGCCTGTTCCAGAGGTGGAGGACGGGGAGACGGCTTCCCCGCGTCTACTGACCCCGAGAGAAGCACGTGGAATTGAACGGACTCGCCGGGTGCCTCGATTCTGACGTGCACCGCTGTCGCCCAGGCTCCAAGGGCAGGCGCATGCCTACCAGGGGCTGGCCGCCAGAGCAACAAAAAAATTGGCGCCAGCCCACGACACACTAGTCCTGGCAGGCGACGGGGAGAGGTGTGGAGCCCCAGAGGTCTGGCACCCTTCCCCCGGGCAGTCCTGTCGTCCCGAACCGTTTGTCGATTGCCCCAAGGCCTGGTAAAGGCCTCGGGGAGGTCGAAGACGAACGCCGGGGCCCTGTTCAGGGGCACGCGGCCAGGGCGCGCGTCCACGAGATCGGGGTCCCGACCAGGGGGGGCGGGGCCTCTGGCATCTGCCGATGTGCGTTTTACCATCTGCGGCCCCGGACGTCCCTACCCATTCCCCGCCCCGGATTCATGTTTGATGGTCCTGGGGCCGGAAGACGGCTCACATTGAACGAAGTCGAGGACAAACGAAAGTATTGAAAAGAGAACTAGAGAGAGAGAGGAGGAGAGAGAGAAAGAGAGAAAGAGAGAGAGAGAGAGCGAGAGAGAGCGAGATAGAAAGAGAGAGAGAGAGAGAGACAAACCAAACGGGATGAGAGGAAGGAAGGAGGATGAGTTGGAGGAGGGGCAGGAGGAGGAGGAGGAGGAAAGGGAGGGGGAGCAGGAGTAATAATCAGAGTGAGGGAGCCGAGCGGTCATTCACTGTCCATGGGTGCGCGGCTGAAGTGGGGTTCCGAGGTGCGGATAGTTGTTGTTGCGTTGTGGTTGTTCTTGCTGCTGTTATTGACTATCATTCTCGAGGAAATTATGGTTGATCCTCCCATCGGTGCACACTATGGTTTTTAAATTGAAGTTCCCCCCTCGGGGCACGCACCCTGTTGTTTATCAGGAAAGCCATCCTGCTCTTACCCCCTGGCCACAACAACCACCACGGCTCCGGCCTCATACGTCTTCACCATGTCTTCCAAGATCGAGCTCTCGCGCGGGACTTACTCACAATGTGTGCAAGAATCGCGCGCTGACACATCTACTCAATTCCTAACTCCACACCCTGCTAATTTCTCTAAGGTTCCATCCTTCTCCCTCCCCCTTCCATCCGTTCTCTCTTCCCCTGTTTTTGGGGTTGCGCCAAATGCACATGGCAGGTAAGGAAGATATACCCCCAAGGGGGTGCGATCGAATACGAAGAGGGCGGTGCCGAGAGTTTGGGATAAACGTGTTGAGTGGCACGCGAGCAGATAGGAGCGACCCGTCCTAAAATGAGTGTTGATATTGTTGGTGTTGGTATTGTTAATGTGGTTGTGACTGTTATTTGGTGTTGTGTGTTGTTGTTTATGTGATGTTTGATTACTTGTTTGTTTGTTTGTTTGTTTGATTGATTGTTTGGTTGGTTGGTTGTTTGTATGTTGGTTTGTTGTCGAGTTCCCATGCCAAAAATATGATTGACCCCCTTCCTTCGGTGCACCCTGTGCTGTTCAATTATAACGAACTCTCCTGGGCTCGCACCTTTTTCATTTTTTCTTGACAAATATTGGTCCTCAAATTGTAGTCCTTCCCCCATTTCACACTCGCGATATGACCCGAGACCCACTCGCGACCCAACCGCGACCCACCCGCCACGACCCAGCCGCGACCCAGCCGCGACACAACCGCGACCCACCCGCGACCCACCCGTGAGCCGCCCGCGGCCCACCCGCGACCCACCCTGCGTACGCCCCCATGACTCGTCGTATCCGCAAGTGTGGGGTGCAACATACGTGACTCGCGGCTTGGAGGCATGCTGCGTGTCAGTCTGCTTCGATCTCTCGTGCGTGTGAGGCCACTGTAAGCACTAATGCATAGTGAATGCAAACTACTGTCTTCGAGCATGTATGAGGAAAGGAGAAGGAGGAGGAGGAGGAAGAGGAGGAAGATGACGAAGAGGAGGAGGAGGAGGAGGAGGAGGAGGAGGAGGAGGAGGAGGAGGAGCAGGCACCGGAGCAGCGAGCAAGAGCAGACATGGACTGGAATTGGCATGTGGAGGTCGCCCAAAGGTCACAGGAGGATCTTGGGGGTCAGCTTTGGGGTCACAAGTCGAGTCTTCGGCGGCAGATCGGGACGATCCGAACACCCTCTTGGAAAACCCTCGGCGAAGCGCGGCTGCTGGAGAACCTCCGACGACCGACGCCCGAACACCTCGAACTTCCTCCCCCTCCTCCTCTCCTCCTCCTCCTCTCCTCCTCCTCCTCCTCCTCCCTCCTTCTTCCCCTCCTCCTCCTCCTCCTCCTCCTCCTCCTCCTCCTCTTCGTCCTCCTCCTCCTCCTCATTCTCCTCCTCCTCCTTTTCTTAGCCGAGCTCCGGGGCGGTCCTCCGCCTGTAGCGTCAGTGAGCGCCTGGCCAGGCGCCCCCTCCCCGCGCATACGGGAGGCAGCCTAGCCAAGCGCCCGATGGCAATCAAAGCACAAGCACAGTATGGAGGACACCCTCCTGGCAAGGCAGGCGCAACCTGGAGCTGGCGGGTACACACGACGGACAGTAGCCTCCAGGAAGAACAACAAACTCGATCAACGCCCTTCGCCAGCTCCAGCATGCGTCTCAGAAAGGACGCTCACGCCAACCGTCGAGCCCGCACGGAGCTCGAGGGCCAGCAAAGGCCTCCTGCTCGAACGGGCTGCGCGCGAGAGAAGGAGAGCAACAAGTAGTACAGGACGGTGAGGTGAGGTGGATCAATCCTATGAAGAAAGGGAAGACAAGGCTCGCCCCTGGTGGCACGCCGCCAGGACGACGAGTGGGCTCAGCACGAATTTGGGGGACGGGGAGGCTTGGGGTGGCGCTCGACGGTTTGTTTCACCCGCCTTACCACTTGCGCCTCCCGTGCCCTCCCCGTCCCCTACAGAAGGCCACGCGGCCCCCCCTTGGTCGGCCCCTCGATAGTCCAACTACTCCGTGGTAGCGCAGAGCACGAGCAAGGCCTTCGTACACGAGGGGCCGCCAAGGGGGTGGCGATACGATTTCTCCTCCTCCACCAACTCTCAGTCCATCCACACCTCCACTCCAGACGCCTCGCAACTCAGCGAAGAGGTCGCCGAGCTCAGCAGAAACGGTAACAGTCGAGCAAGTCGTGAGGGCTGTCATCCCCACTCGGGTGGCCGGCCCTTCCAAGAACGGGGACCCAGCGCCCATGGTCGGGGGGCTAGGACGAGGGAGGGCGGAGTGGGGCTCACCACCCACAGCCTCGTGCGCCGAGCATTTGACCGCCAGAGGAATGGACGAGGGGACATAACATCAGGTCAATCGCCACCATCGCCACCAAGAGGAGGTGAGAATTCAATCCGACCTAAGACGCCGCTGTCCGAAAGGCCGCTGAAGCAGCCAGCGCAGGGATGCTAGCATGAGCCAGCGCCCGCGCAAGCACGCGCGAGAGGCCTACTGGCCACTCACCAAGGCCATCTTCAGAACCTACTGCATGAGCATGATGAACGCAGCGATATCTGGAATAGTGGCCACTCAACTCCGATTCCAAGTGCATGTGCGCGGTGATCAGCGTGACTGCCCCAAGTGTAGAGGAGCCCATCATGCACAAATCAATACGAAACTCTTCCAAATACTTCCCAATCGAAGAGGCAATCAAATCTACGGCACCCGTAATGTTAGACAGTAACCCAGAGGGGGAAATAAACGCCGCTGGAACACCTGTAAACGATGCAGCCTCGAGCAACCTCCAGCTTGAACGCAAGTAATTGTTCTCGATTAAGACTGTACGACGTGCATCTTCACCAAGCTGAGGCAGACCCCAGGGATGGTCAGCAGATCTTCGGGGGCATGAAACACCAGGCTGCCCATCAAACTGCACCCATGATGCCAACAACGGAGCCAAGACAATCGCCATGACCATCCCCTGACACATATCATCCACAATCGCCTCTATTGACTTCTGATCCAGAAGGGTGCGTTCGCCATCGTCGCCAAATACAGGAATACGCACCACTTGTATCGACTGCCCTAAGAGCTTCTGCAACCAGGTGCAAACATCAATAGTCGTCACATCCCAACCACCAAGATAATAAAACTTCATCGGGTAACAACCCGATACTTTTAATCGCCTCAAAGGTGGGACTGGGGGCCGAACCTCGATCCTCACTGATGGCGGTGAGACTGGGTAATACGGATCACCTCGACCTCCCCCATGTACCGTCCTCACAGCATGCTTGAAAACTCGTCGGTAATTATAGCCACGGTGTATCAAATCTCGT